TTTGTTGTTTTGGTAAATATGTACAGTGAGGCATCTCTGTAATATGTAAATACGTACAAAGAACTTCTCTAACATTTTTTTCCCATGTGAAAATGACGTGAAGATGTGCCTAAACTGGCTAGGTTTAGTGTCTTACGTTGTGGTAAAAGAATTGACAGTGATCAGAATCTGTTAAGAGTTAAAGCAACATTGGAGGCATTGTAAATTCATTGATTACCTTTAGAACTGCTTAATATAGTTCAAAGAACGTTGAACTTTTTTCTTAGTTAATTTGTTAAAAATCATTTATATTTTACTATATTCTGCTGTTAATGTCATATTCTGTTATAAATGTGATGAAGGTGTTTGATTTAATGAGAAGGTAGTATATTCAAAGAATACAAATGGCTTGAAATATAATAGAAGTAGCTAGTTGGATTAAACTAGGTATAGGAAGTGACTATCTGACTTCATATTTTTGAGGAAGGTAATTCCTGACTGTGTTTAAGAAAAGGCAACGGTATGGGATTTGCTTAACAAGTAAGAAGAATACATGGATAAAGTGATAATCTAGAGCCCGTGAAAAGAACACTTAATGTTAGGAAGTAACATTACGTCTGCAATAAAGCCACTAGCCATTACTTGTGGTTTCTGTAGACCACAAGTTTTTTTCTTCTCAAGAACAATTTGTATGTTAATATTGTTGAACTCTTTAATGAAAATTTAAAGAATGAAACGTTGTTAAAAATACTAAATTCAGAATGTTTTATAATTGTAAACTTTTAAAAAATTAATGTTTTATTTAAAACTTTTCACGTAACCTATTTTGATAATGTTCTTTTCTCTTCCCCAACTCCTCCCTGTCCCATCCTACCTCCTTACCCATCCAACTTATGTTTGTGTGCATGTTCTCTTTCTTTCTCTCTCAAAATACCAAAAGAAAAAGCACACATAGACACATGCACAAACAAAACAAAAACATGGGATCTGTCTTGTGTTGGCCTTCCATGGAGTGTGGGATATACTCAGTGACACTCCTTTGAAAAAACCTGGTTTTCCCTTCTAGCAGGTATCAGCTGGTCATGGGTGGGAATTTGTGTCTGCTGTCTCCTCAGTGCTGGAATTTTGCCTGGTTTGAACCTGTGCAGGACTCGTGCCTGCTGTCACAGTCTCTGTGAGTTCATGTTTTTCAGTCCTGTTGTGTCTTGAAAATACTGTTTCATTGGAGTTGTTCACCAACTCTGACTCTTATGTATAGATCCCCAAGCCGTGAGAGGAGGGGTTTGATATAGGCATCACAGTTAGGGCCGAATGCTCCAAAGTCCTTCACTCTCACAAACTACTGCTAGGTAATTGTGTCTCTGGAGTTATTTTGTATTTTTTATGTAATGCTTTTTTACAAGATTGACAGCCCAAAGTCATTTTTAGTCAAAAGATGTCTTCTCTGCTTCTTACCATACTAAGTTCATAGCTTAATTACTTTTAGATTAAAGACCATTAGTACTGTGTGGATATAGAAGAACAAAAAAAAAAGATTCTGGGTTTGAATAGAGACATTTTAAGGGATAAGGTAACACCATGATTTGTATTTTATAGTTGTGAGGGTTGTTCACACTATGTAGAGTTGAATCATTCATTTGAAGTAGTGGAACAGATGAAATCGACAAGAAAAAGGCATAGCATTTAAATTTTTGGCAGATATATATAGAATAGATAAGACATCGAGCATAAAGATCCTTAAACCAGGGTTCTTGCTTTTAATTAAGAAAGACCTTTTGGCTAAGCGGTGGTGGTGCAAACCTTTAACAGCACTCAGGAGGCAGAGGCAGACCGATCTCTCTGAGTTTGAGGTCAGCCTGATCTACAAGAGCAAGTTCCAGGATGGGCTTTAAAGCTACAGAGAAACCATGTGTTGAAAAAAAAAAAAAAGTTAAGGACTTTGTCCTTCTGTTACATTGAGATCATGGGTGATACGGATAATTGCTACTCAGTGGAGTTGTGTTACAAAGCGTGAACAAGTGTAATTCCAGTTGTATGCCAGCACCATGGTCTCCAGCAGCACTTTATTAGCACTACTACAAATGATGGTGCCATTATGATTATCAGTTGTGTTGTAATGAAGCTTGAGGCTGAGGAAACATTTGTATAAAAGGGATATGGGAATCATGCCAAGCCTTACATCAGTGGTTCTCAACCTGTGGGTCACGAAAACTTTGGAAAACTTGTATCTACAAAAGTATTAGTAGCCTTAGCAAAATTACAGTTATGAAGTAGCAACTAAAATAATTTTATGGATGGGGTTCACCACAGCATGAGGAACTGTATTAAAGGGATGCAGCATTAGGAAGCTTGAGAACTACTGCCCTACATCAGTAAAGAGCAAAAATCAAAGGTCACAAATCATATTCCTTTATATTTGACTGTTTACCAAGAAGCAGATGAAACATGCTTTATCATTGTAACCTGACCAGTTCTTTTGTAGAACAGTGGCAAAAGGAGAACCGATTCATCATCCTGCCCCCAGTTTGTAGTTCACCTCTTTCCCAATGTCCCAAGTGCTTGCTTATAGCTTGCCCACGTGTGTAGTCTACTTTAGCCTTGCTCCTCCCTCTGCGAGCTCTCTTCCCAACAACTCTTGATGCTAGACGTCAGTACATCTATCTCACCTGCACTGGGAAGGGTTGTCCATTACTGCACTCTGGGATCCTCGGGATCTGCTCAAGTAGTTTTAAAACACAGCATGACACTGAACTAAACAAACTTCTTGTCTCTTGAGCTTGTGCCTGAATAGTCAGAACCTAGATCCAGAAATGCAAGGAGAGGCTGGAGAGATGGCTCAATGGTTAAGAATACTTGTTTTTCCTGAGGTGTGGTGGATTCATGTGCCTAAACCCACATGGCAGCTCAGAAACCATCCATAATTTTAGTTTCAGAGGTTCCGACTATTTTCTGGCCTCCCTGGACACTGCACGCATGTGTCGCACAGACACATGAAGGCAGAGTACCCCGCCTCACGCTTACACAAATTCAAGAACTTGGAACAATAGTTTCTCTTGCCTGTTCTCAAGATGATGCTGGAAGTGACCCTTTGACATGGTGACAGATCAGCAGGACTACTGTATTGTGAAGTACCATAAGAATGAAAAAGCTGAAGACAGCTAGACTCCTGGTGGTTTGTAAAGCAGTTGAGAAAGACCCTATTTGGATGCAGTAAGAATGGGAAATAACCAGGTCTTGCTTATCACCATGTTTGCTTGCATCTAGTCACTTTCTCACAGATTGCTAACCACCTTACCAGAGATGATGAAGTCATCATAGAATACAGCAAGAGGTAAATAAATTATTGAAAGTCCACATAGAGCTTAGGACCCCAGGGAGGGCATTTTGTTCACATGGTAGTGCATCACATAGTTAATGCATTGTATATGAGGATCATATATGTTTGATGTGTGTATATTATACCCAACATAGTTCTTTTTAATTGAATCATTGTATGTGAACAGGCTGTCAAGGAAGAACTTAGACTTGATGTTAAAGTGACACACTGTAAAGGCACACTTGTATCAGCGAACTAGTGTGGTAGCTGAGGAACTTGCAGTGTCTTCAAAGATCTGAGCAATTGTATCAGAATTAGTGGGAAACAGAGAGCCAGCTGTTCCAAGTGGAGAGTTTGTGTTTAGCCTTTTTGAAGAGGAGGGATTGGCAAAGATAAACTGACTGTTATTTAGCCTGAACTTGGATCACAAGGCTTATGCAGGGAAGGGTATTTGGAGAAAATAATTAAATTAAAGGAATAGTTAAGAAGGTTAAAAACATGCAGTTATATGCCTGTATAATTAGTAGTTATGTTGCTTAAAATCATTGTGAAACTTGTAGTCACTTCATTTATAATGTATTCAATAAACTCTTTCAGAAATAGTCACAGTGGAACAGCTAGATCTGATAATAGAGTTTAAATGCCCAGTTCTTTTAGAGAAAGTGGATGTACTAATTAGTGTAGATTACTTCATTTTGCCGAATCTGACTTGTAATCTAGATACACAAACACCTGTGATTATTTTGCGGGCTTTGTCATTTGTTAGTCTGAAATACATGTATTTAGATTTGCTGCTTGTTCATATAGACCCAGCTGTGCCTGTTTGCTTTGTTATTTTTCCAAGTTTAATGGACCAATATAAAAATTTATGGCAACTGTCACTTAATGTCACTTCTACCTTTAAGGAAAATGAAAACAAAGCTGAATCATGCTAGAAAACTGTATTGCCGTTTATAGTTGACTATAAGGTACACATTATGCTAAACTGACCTGTGGTATCATGGGACAAAGTTAGGCCAGCAAAAATAACCTGAATAGGGATATAAACAGATACATAAGTGTGTGTTATGTTGTCCTTGTCGCTGTAAGTTGAATGTATTGGAAATAAAGATCAGTGGTTTCAAAATAACCCCTCCTGTTTTTCTACCATGAACCAGAGATTTCTAAAACAAAACAAAACAAAACAAAACAAAACACCTCTGAAGAAAGTACAGTAATTTAATCCCAGCACTCTAAAGAAAGTACAGTACAGTACATACACCTTTAATCCCAGCACTCAGGAGGCAGGGGTGGGATGATCTGTTGTGTTGAATCTGAGAACAACTTAATCTGCATAGTAAGATCCTGTCTTGGAAGTTTTTTCCCTATAAAATTGCTTATTGTGTGTATTTTACTAATGTTTCAACTTTATGGTCTGTTCATTTTTACTTCTTTATTTTTGAGAAATCTTAATGATTTGTGATTTGAGCTAATATATGTTAGTTGTTAATCTTGTCTCATTTTTATTTCTTTAAATACAGAGAGTTAGTAGATGATTTTTAGAGTTGTTTGTTCTTTCCTCTTCACGTTGTAAAGCAAACATTTAAGAAATCGCCTTTCCTTATTTTTCCTCATTTGTACTTTTCTGATAATTAAAGCATTAATTTTATTCATTGAATTCCAATTTATTAAAAACATATTCCCATTGTTTCCTGTAAAATCAAAAACTAATATCCTTTTTATCTTAAAAAGAAATTAAAAAAATAGAGATTTAGTTACAAAGAGTACTTTTAAATAATTGAGACATATAGTAATATTTATCCTCAAGCGCAGTAATTTAAAATAATAAACAGTTTCAAGATTTTTAAAAATAATTTTATGTTAATCTAATTTATCTTTTAATATATTTGAACTTTTGGTATTTCTGACATTTTATGAAACAAATACCTTGAGTTTGGCTGGTTGAGAGACTAGGGCTAACTTGATCATGTCCTCTATTACCATGTAACACAGAGACACTCGAAGAGTAAAATACTTCAGTCTGTCATATACAGGATCTCATGTCTGAAAGTTTTCAAAATTGTGTATTTAAAATTTTGAAATGTGCTTTTCTTGGTGGTTGGCAATGAGTATGGTGAGGAACTTTATTCTTTCACAACTATGTGTACTCGAGTCATCATTAGATTGTGTCATGTAATTCTTTTAAATGCTTCAGGAACCCTGTTTGTTCGTGGTGCTATGGAAACTATAAGAGAACTTCTCTCTGCTGTCTATCACCTAGCCCCTCTGTCACCTCCAGCTGTCTCAGGTAGGAATAAAGGCATGCTGTATTGAAAATTCATATAGCTATCACTCAGTGTATAGGAAATAATGAGAAAGCATCTTCACCCCTTTATGTGAGATAATCAAGTACTTTACAAGCTTAGACCAGTTTAAAGAGACCAAAAATAAAAGGTGCAGTCTTTTTACATTACTTTGGTACCCGTGTGTCAACCTCCATATTGTCTGGATTGGGTATCCTAAAATGGTAGCCAAATAATTGTACATACTTTCTGCATTTCTATACTAGTTAATTTACCAGACATCGTGCACATAGCAGAATCTACTTAAAGGCAGAAAAATAGCAGTCACTTTCTGAAGTTCAGACAATGACATGATAACACTTAGACCAGTGGGTATGAATATGTGGTAATTGGCTAACATGTTTCTGATGATGTCATAATTCCTTCACTCAGTAATAGCTTGGTTTCTGCATTTGGGTGATGTGAGCTCTTTGCTTTCATTGCAAACAGTTCTTTAAAGAGAGCCTTTTTGGCGTGTAGAAACATAAAACGAGCTGGGGTGGATTGTGATGTTGGGGGATAGGTTTAGTGTCTGAGCACTTATTAGCTGTTTGTCATTGCTCTCTGAGATGGTGTTTGCATTCAGCTATTTTCTTACCTTTCCTAATTGTTGAAATTCAATTGCCAGTCCATTAAATTTGATAAAACATTATTTTGCCATTTCTTTTTTTAAATGAAACTTAAAGTTGGCATTTTCAAGTAGTTATGGTTTACCTTGTAGTTAGTGATCTAATGATCTACTAATTAAATGTGTCTTAATGGTTTTAGATGTAGTTTATATTTCCCCCATGGTGCTGGTTTTTGAACCGAGGGCCTCATGCATGCTAGGCAAATTCTCTGTCCTAATTCTGTCCTAATATGCTTGCTTTTGCTATGATGTGTATTAGACCTAGTGTCTCTCAGGCCTAAGCACATGGCCTGTCTCTGAGTTACACTACCCATTCAATTATTCTTTAAAAGCTACCTTTCAAGTTTATTTCATAGTCCTATGAACCTTTATTTATTTCCAATGGAAGATGTGGTGGTAAGGTAGAATCTATGAAAGTTCTGGGTTCTTTAAATAGCCTTGCTCTCTGAAGAAAATCTTCAGTTTCTGTGGGAAAATGAATGTACTGGCTGCTAATTTGGAAACAAGACAAAGAGAAATAAGAACTTTCTTATCATCTCAGAGCTAAAGAGACACCAAAACTATATGCTACCAACCCCGCCCGTGTGTGTGTGAGTGTGTATGTGTGTGTGTGTGTGTGTGTGAGAGAGAGAGAGAAAGAGAGAGAGAGAGAGAGAGAGAGAGAGCGCTAGACAGAATCAGAGACAAAGACATACAGAGAGAGACAGACACGGAGAACTTTGTCTCTGCCTCCCAAATACTGGAATTGCTGGGATTACAGCTGTAGTCTCTGATGCTGTAGCCTCCATTTCAGACTGTGTTTCTGTAAATGTCCTCCAGAGGTTGCACCAAAAGTTCCCCAGTGCATTTCTTGAAATTTTATCATGGATATAAGGTTACAATAAGGTTTTAAGAATGGTGATTAATTTTGTGTCTAAGCCCTCACAACATAATTTGAAACATAACTATGCATTTATGTGTAGGAGTTATAATTTAAGAGTATACTTTTATCAAAGTATATTTAAAGTACCAGCTTTTTCTTTCAGATAGTTTACTAGGAAATGTTGCAATTTTCTTGTATTTTTCAAACCATTAAAGTTGTTAATCAAATCAATCTGATACTCATTTTACTGACTGATTTCCATAATTGAGAGTATGTGACTATAGACATTGTATATCTAATAATTATATAAACTTAGGTGAATTTGTAAAGGTGGTTGCAGTATATTTTTAGAAATAATATAAAGGAAATAAAGTCGTGAATGTGCTGGTCGAACTCTTCCTTATGAAAAGTAGTGGAGGAAGCATCCTCCGTCATCCCAAGGAAAGCAGCAGAGAATACTTTCACATATGTTTCTCCTTACACCATTTTTCCTTTTACTCTGAAATTTAGACCTCCTTTAGTTTGGGTGGCATTAATCTCTTCTGTTGTATGCAAAATGAATGAAGTTACTGGAAAGGGGAACTGGCGGAAATTAAGCAAGTTTGTATAGAAGTCAGCAATTATAATGTAGCTCATTTGCATACTAGGCCACAATTTACAAGTGTGTGTGTATGTGTGTTTAGTATTTGTAAGAACTTGTTCTGATTGGTCAGTTTATGGTGTAGCCATTGTCTCCTTGATGTTAATGGGGAAGCATTGACTGACAGGTAAAGAAACACAATTCGAGTAATGTAATTCTCGTGTTGATGGTGTGACTGTGAACTCTGATATGGCTCTGAAATATTCTATCCATCATGTCAGGAACTTTCAGATTGTTTTCAAATTAAAGACATTCTGCGGGAACCATGTTCACAGGGATTTTTGTAAGTCAAACTGGTCTGTAGAGCAGATTCATCTTGGTTTCTTTCACTTGGGACCTTGAGTTACAAAGCTTCACAGCTATTCACAGCTCTGTATGGTTGTCTGTAAACTAAGAATAGCTAACTATCTCTGTTTGTTCTTTATTTTGGTATAAGTGGTGATCAGGTTTATATCTTTTCTTACTGCCCATTGTGGATCTAGAAATAAGAATTAGACTTGATGTTCTCTCTCTCTCTCTCTCTCTCTCTCTCTCTCTCCTTCCTTCCTTCTTTGTCTGTCTGTCTCTCTCGATGAATGTTTCTTGATTTTTACACACTATACAGGAAATAAAAATGATTTAAAAAGTTGGGGCCTGTAGTAGTTTGTTTTTATACTAGTTCAAAAAATACAAAAAATGCTAAATACATAAGACTCCCTTATTAAATGAAGTAAAATGTAACATTAGTAAGTATATCATTCTTTCTGATATTTGTAATGTTTATTGAATTTCATAACACTAACCCTGGTAGTTAAACACATTTAGGTTTGTCAAAGTAATTTTTATGAGTTACTGTCTGTTTATAGAGTAAAAATACTGGGTTATAGTAGTCTTCAGTAATAGTAGTAGAATTGCTAGGAATGGTTCCTTCACATCAGAAAATTGTAGAGTTTTTCATATGTAAGTTTCAAGTTGGGTTTTCATGATATACAAATATACATTACTTCTTAATGTATTATAGCAATCTATGAGGTTTCTTTCCTACAAACACAGGAAGAAATCCTAAAATCAGTGGTTCTTTAAAAACATGAAATTTAATAAGAATCATAAAATATACAAATTGAAGTTAAACATAGCTATTTAGACTGAAATGTAATTGAATTGTTTAGACTCAAGTCATTGTACACATTGAATGTGTGTCTGGAGTTTATGTTCTATGAAGGCAGTGACATCAGTTTTTCTCAAACTAGTTAATGAGCTTTTAGTTTAGTGTGCTCAGCTAAACACCCTTAGGTGATACTATTCAGCGATTCCCCCCCCCCCCACCCACAGTCTGTTCTGGACATGGAATGATTGGAAGGGCCTCCACATTGACAACAAAATGCTCTTGATAGGAGTGAGCAAAGGTTTGCACCACTGCATGGCTTCATAATGCGGTGATTCAAATTTGCATCTTGAGGATTAGTTATTCAGCTAAATAATATGTGTATTCTTTATGTCTCTGTTCACGGTATAATCATGCTGCTAATTTGATGCCATATTCCTTTTGTGATCATGACTAAGAATTATATATGCAAAGTATGGGGATGTGTAAATTATTTTCTTAGATTTGTCTTAGTGTTTTCTATTGCTGTGAAGAGACACCATGACCATGGCAACTCTCAAAAAGATAACATTTAAGCTGGGTGGTGGTGACACACGCCTTTAATCCCAGCACTCGGGAGGCAGAGGAGGGCAGATATCTGTGAGTTCAAAGCCAGCCTGGTCTACAAGAGTTAGTCCCAGGATATGCTCCAAGACTACAGAGCAATCCTTTTTTGGAAAAAAAAATAAAAGATAACATTTAATTAAGGTAGTGGCTTATCGTTTTAGAGGTTCAGCCCATTATCATTATGACAGGGAGTATGGCAGCATGCTGGCAGACATGAAGCTGGCAATGTCTTGACCAGAAGCCAGCAGGAAGTTGAATGACTGTCACACTGAGGAAAACTTGGGGTAAAAGAGACCTGAAATCTTGCCCCCACACACTTACTTCAACAAGGTCACTCCCTTTGGGGACCATTTTCTTTCAAACCACTGCAGATATATTAAGATTAAAAACTGAGTACTTTTGATTTATGGTACTAAAATTCCTTTGTTACATAAAAGAAACTTCATGTTGGGGCTGGAGAGATGCTGCTCTCACAGAGGACCCAAGTTCAGTTCCAGCACTCATATGGCAACTCTCAACTGTCTGTAACTTCTGTTCCAGACTCCCTCCCTTGGTCTCCTTCGTACCAGGTATGCATGTAGTACACATTACATACATGCAGACAAACATTCAAACACACATCCTTATGAAAAACTTAAGTTACTGTAAGTGTTTTTTTTAAAAATATAGAATATAGAAGAAATGAAAAATGAGTCAAGAATGAGGCTTTCTTGGATAGTCTTGCATCATATGTTGGTAACTAGTTAACATTTCATAACAGATACTGTGTGTCAGCCCCAGAGGAACACACCTTGTTAAACTCCTATAATCTTCACATTAACTCTCCAAATGAAGTGGACACCTGAGGTTTTAGATTCTTTATTTTCATTTTTCATATTGAAAATGGTCTGAAAATCCCATTTCCTTGAGTTCTAGGTAAACTAATGTGGTTGTCAAACCTGAAGTAAATAACATGAGACTATTTAATAGTCTTTACCTGTAATTGAAACATTTGTTTATTCTGCCCCAGAAACACCAACATGCATTATTATGGGTTGTCCTAGGACTTCAGAGATATTAATTTTTTTCTAAACTTCATTGAATTCAGTTGTGAGACACCTGGGTAAAGCTCTAGGACAAGACAATCCTGTTCATCATGTCATTTTT